CCATTTATCTGCAGAAAGTCTTCTTCCAGATTAATAATCGCTGCAAGTGGTTTCAGTAAATTTTGACATTAGTCCGTCAAAATTTTTGCTATTGAATTTGGTTAATTTCCAACACATGAGATTGTCTTCATTGAATTCCTTAGGCAAGGGTGTGATAATTTCCTCATCAATGGAAAAGTTTCCGCTGATGGTATTAAAATTTATAGGATTCTGTAATTTTGTTCTCCTATATTGTGGCAATAGGTTCTTAATTAACAAGGAAGTGGTTGATCCCGTGTCTAATAAGCAGTTGATATTTGTATTTCCTATATGAATTTCTACTATCGGTAAATGAACTTTGTGGCTGGACATTGAAAATTTACTTCTTCTGAAGTATTGGAGGTATTAGCAATATGGTCTACTTCCATAGGAGTAGGGCATTGTTATTATGTCCATTCGTTCGGTTTGAATTTTGGCTACGTCTTGTTTGTTGAGAGTAGCTTGAATTCTGTCTATGTGGTAGAGAATTAACTTGCGGGCTAACTGTATTGGAATTATTATGTGATAAATTATTTGTTGGGTTCTGAAATGACTGTTTTTGTTTGTATGATTGTCCGTCATCTCTGTTGGGTTTTTGGTATTTGTAAGTCTTATCATATTGTCGTAACGTTCCGGTCTCTTCGAGTACATAATAAGCTTCTCTTAATGTAGATATATTTCTACTGCAGACTATGCTTGACAGATTTGGGTGAATTTCGTTTAGGAATGTCTTTAACATAATGGATTAATTTGTTAAAGGTGAGAATTCTTGTGTTTTTTTTACATCGAATTCATATTTGGTATTTAAAATATTCACTTACATTAGTATTCTTCATGTTGATTGCTTGGTGATACAGGCTGTGGTAGCTCTCCTTTATCCCAAAATTTTTTATTAGTTTGGCCCAGAGTCCTTACGGCTTGCAACGCTGGTCCTTGTATCTTGTTGCAGACGTACCGTTCAAAAACAAATTGTTGTAGAAGGGAGTTTTCCCCAAATAGTGGTATAATTAGCTCCACTTCCCTTATAAATTACGATAAATCGTATTCCTTGGTGCCCCGAAATTCTTTTATTCGGGCTGCTTCTTTCAAAAGATCCGTGTCGGATAGTATTGCTGCCTGGTTTTCTGTAGACATGTTTTTTTTTCAAATTAAGCACGATTTTTGTATTTTACTTTGACTGGAGGTAATGTTCGTTTCTTTTTACAAACACACGGTTTTTGTATCTTTTTTTTTTTGTTATGTTATCCTTCGGGATTAACTGCACAATTTCCCGTAAATTCTTCGGAATTTAGTTACGGTCTGCCTATCCTTCAGGATAAGTCTTTTAAGTCGCGACGGAAAACTTTAGTTTTTCGCGTTGTGTTCAGTAATCGAATTTTTGGAATCGATCTCCGTTGACTGCGCCATTCAAGGGATTGATTCGTCAATCCCACAAAAAAAATCACGAGTTTAAATTTTGTAGTTATTTTATTGAACTCATAATTCTTAATGCTCTACTTAAATCGAATTTACAATATTTATAACTTTTATTTTGCTGGCTCAGCTCACATTTGTTGAAATATGAAAAGGTATTTTGTAGTGAAAGAAATGCTGACTTAACAAAAGCATTTCGTAACTGGAATAAAGTAAATGTTAATTCTTTTCTTTATTGGCGCAGTAACCGCCTAAGCGATTTTGGCCGCAAATGTTGATTAGGCAATTTTAAATTAGGCAATTTGTTATTGTTTAAGTTGGCAATTTATTTATATGAAATATGATACTAAGCTATTGTTGTCAATTAATTGGTAGTGAGTTGGTTGAACTGTTGGAATGGGTAGTTCCAGGGTGGTGGTGATTAATTGCCATCGCTGATGGAGATTTCCACAGAACCCTTGACCCTCAGGTTCTGGGAGAGATTTTAGAAGTTCACCGACGATTAAGTGCCCTGGCGTTCGAGCTTCGAGGTCGACTGCAGTTGTCGTGCCCTCACATAACTTGCGGGAGTTCACGCAGGCATCCACTTCTGTCAGTAACGTATTGAATTCCTCGTACAACAGCAGAGTTTCGCCCAAAAGGCGTTTTAGATGGTACTTGATACGCTTGATACCGGTTTCCCAGTATCCACCCATATTAGGCGCGGTCGGTGGATTGAAACGCCACTCTATGTTGGAATCGGCCAAAAATTATTGAAGAGTGACGTTTGCCATGCACTTTTCATTTCCGCTGCGAAATTCCTTCTCGGCGCCGACGAAATTCGAATAATGATCGGAGAACATAGTCTTGCAATAACCGATTGATGAATAGTTTGAACGCGTTGAGAAACGAAGACCCCGATAAGTCTCCTACGAATTCTAGGTGCATTGCGCCAGTACACATGCAAATAAACGGGCAAATGTAGCCTTTCGCAGATTGCGCCCTCTGATGCGCATTTTGGGTTAGGTATCTAAAATGTGCACTTAAGCATAAACGCAGCAAAGCAAAATATACAGTATAATTGTTTTATTACAGGGGACTCTGTACCAAATTCACAAACTGAAACTTACTAAAATTAAAATTATATCACAAAACACTTCACACTTCACAAAAATTACTTGAACCTCTATTTGCATGAAGAAAAAGTGAGTGTTCAAGCAGGTTGAATGCTTGTAGGCCATAAATGTAGCTTCGATTGGTCACTCCGCTGCACATTAAGTCAAATAATTCATTTGGCTGTGCGAAAGCCCAATTTCGTAAAGGCAGTTTTACATTATTTTTTGTTGCCATTCTGTAGGGAATACACCAAAATAACAGAAACTTCACTTTGTTTTTGTAAAATAAAAAACACCGTTAGACAGCAATAAACCAAAGTTACACTTTCAAAACGTTATTGACACGTTGTTTCAGCAACCGGTTTGTTTTTTAAGTTTCAAGTGCGTTTTTTTGTAGAGTTCAGATAATTAAAGCAAAATTTTAATGGAAAACAAAATTATAAGTGAAAACCTACGGCCCAATAAAAAAGTGGTTTTTTATCATTTCTTTACAAAAAAACTGCGTTATTTGGAAATGGAAATGGATAAATTAAGATGTAAAGAGTTGATTTTATTTTACTTAGCCCGCCGTTTTTAGCCGTTTTCAAGAAAAACGTTTTCTTTCTGGACTATCATGCTATTACAAAAGGCGATTTGCTTGAAGTTTGCCCGATTGGATGTTAAAAAAAAAAGTTTTTTTCGGTTGTCAACCATGTTGAAAAAGATATGGTGCTGCTGATATTTGCGAAAGTTCCATGAAACTCTTAGGAGAAAAAACGCGTCTTTTTTTTATTAGGGAAAACAATTTGGAAATGATGCTAGAATGCGTTTCTTGCTGATGAAAATCTTTTTGAAAAATAAAAGCCAACTGTGTCGACCAGCAGCCGGATTCTAACTTTCGCTATCGCTATAATGCTAAAATACGAAAGCTAACATTTTTCCGAATTTTTAGCTATCTCCAAGAATTGCGGTTCTGTCCTCCCTTTCGCTAAAAATAGCTTAGCCTAAATTTTTTGGTGATAAATAGTAAATTTTAATGGTGATAAATAATGAAAATGGAAGTATGTGATAGCAAAAAAATAGCAAAATAGACACTTGCGCCTTCGCAAAAAGGCAAATCCTTGAGAGAATTTACGGATTGAAATTTCGAAACTTTTTACTCAAAGTGAATAGAGCTTTGAACATTCTTACCACAAATTGGTTTCAAAAACATTCGTATTCTTTTCAGGAAGTAACCAGCGATTTTTGGTAAATATGTCACAAAGCAGCATATGCATTCTGAATATAAATAATATCGGTGGAGAATTTGGAAATACTGAAACCTCAAGTGAAAATGAAGTGTTTTATGAAGACTAACTGCTTAAGGAATCTCTCCTGGAGGCATATCTGCGAGACATGTGGTAAATATTTTTCTTTTTTAATTTAGGCATTTCAGTAATGCCATAATTAATCGCTAAAATGGTTTCTTTTATGCACATGTGCCCATACTTATTTTATTATGTAGCTCATTTTAAGGGGGAGGGGGTTGAGTATGGTAAGAAAATAACTTGTGTCAAAACCAAACTAATTTGACAATGTTTTTGAGTACTACCTAAACACATATACTCATCATTGAACATACAGAAAAGCAGAAAAGTCTGTTTTACGAAGCCAAGTCATGTTTTCACCTTTTATTTACTGCCTTTACACTTTTTAACGTTTACCATCTTTTTACATTAAAATAATGCAATATTTTAGCTGCTATTAATTTCGCACAGAAAAGGTTATCATTTGACCCAATGTGCACTGTGATTGGTCACTCCGCTGTGAATCAAGTTAGATACCTGTAATTTAACTTTATTTCACGAGTTGATCCCGATCGCCCATCCCCAAATAAAATCCTGTATCCGCCGCTAGCCCAAAAGTCCATAGTTTGCTAATATTTTTTTCTTTTTATTTCAAAACTTATAATCGGTGCGGTCCGTGCTTAAAGTTTTAATTGATACATATTTACGTTTCGAGTTCTGTATACACGCATGCTGTAAAATATTAGTACAGACTTAAATGTTTTATCATCCTAACGATGTAAATCTTTCTTGCTTTTCCAGAATACACCTCCTGATTATCTCTTTTAAAGAAATTTTCATTCGTCTGTATATATGTATGTACGTGAGTGTTATCGTTTATGTGCCATTACAAAAGTCTTCCAATGACAAATAGGATAAAACTAACCAACTCCACCTAAATTAGATTAAATTATCAACTTGTACTTACTAAATATGTGTGCCAAAGAAGTTGAAATTTTTAACGAGAACTGCGTTTAAGCGACCACTTTTTATAAGGTGTTCCAAATAAGATTATACTCCTTTGGATAATTCATTCAATATGAGGTGGTTGATTGTATCAAGAATTTGTAGCTTAATCCGCGAGCATAAATTTCGAAAGGTCTTTTACGTTTTACTAATACTAAGTGTAGATATACAGAACCAGTTTTTATGCAGTTCAGATCGAAAAATAATGGCTACGTCCTCATTGCTTAGTGTGACAGAAGCACCAATAACCGCTAATGAATTGCAGCCTAAAGAACCTAAAAATACTCATTCCTTTGAGTTCGTACCTGCAACATCCATGGGCGAAAGCCAACGCATAAAACACAGCGCTGGTAGGGGCAATCGCTCGGAGAGGATCCCCAGCGGTTCTGGAAAAAATGTGAATAGTACATCGTATCCAATAGAATTTTCAACTGTCACAACAACTGCCAAGCATACATCACAAGAAATGGTCTCAGTCAATTTGCCTGGTGATATCATAATGGGAGGTCTTTTCCCCGTACACGAGAAAGGCGATGGTACACCGTGTGGCCCGAAAATTTACAACCGTGGCGTACATCGCCTTGAAGCAATGCTCTATGCCGTCGACCGTGTAAACAGTGACAAGAGCCTGTTGCCTGACATTACGATAGGCGTTCATATACTTGATACCTGTTCCAGAGACACTTACGCACTGAATCAATCGCTGCAGTTTGTGCGCTCGTCTTTGAACAATCTGGATACTTCGGCGTTTGAGTGTTCCGATGATTCTGTGCCTCGCTTGCGCAAGAATGCCTCTTCTGGTCCTGTGTTTGGCGTGATCGGTGGTTCTTACAGTTCTGTTTCTTTGCAAGTAGCCAATCTCCTTAGACTGTTTCACATTCCGCAGATTTCTCCCGCGTCTACCGCCAAGACTCTATCAGATAAGACCCGTTTTGATTTATTTGCGCGCACAGTTCCACCGGATACGTTTCAGTCTGTAGCGCTAGTGGATATCATTAAGTGTTTCAACTGGTCCTACATCTCCACCATACACTCAGAGGGTTCTTATGGAGAATATGGAATTGAGGCATTTCACAAAGAGGCTACCGAACGTAATGTTTGTATAGCAGCTGCCGAGAAAGTGCCCAGTGCAGCTGACGACAAAATATTCGATGCTATCATTGCGAAGTTACAAAAAAAACCTAGTGCGCGGGGTGTAGTACTATTTACGAGGGCGGAGGATGCCCGCAGTATCCTATTAGCAGCTAAAAGGGCTAACTTGGCACATCCTTTTCATTGGATTGCGAGCGATGGTTGGGGAAAACAGCAGAAGCTACTGGATGGATTGGAAGGCATTGCAGAGGGCGCTATAACAGTGGAGCTGCAATCTGAAATTATTGAGGATTTCGATAAATATATGATGCAATTAACACCACAAACTAACAAGAGAAATCCCTGGTTCGAAGAATATTGGGAAGATACCTTTGATTGTGTTCTACCGAAGAATTTTGTTCAATCTGATGTACAACGGCACAGGAACGGAACAGTTTCGCAACAAAAGTTTTTCACTTCAAACGACAGCGGCACATTTCCACTACGGGGGAGCACAGCAGCAAGCATTGCAGGCGGTCGTATTTGCGATGAAAGACTTCGCCTTTCGGAGAAAGTTGGGTAAGTACGCAAATTAAGTGTAAGCCCAGTCACAGTTTTTAGGTAAGACAAGCTACATACTCTGATATACAAAAGAGAACGAATTTATGCCTGTAGTATTGGCAAGAAAAGTCAGTCTCGCTGAAGTAAAGTTCTTGCCCGACAATAGCTGAATGGACAACCGAGATCAGTAATCTACATATAAGACAGAGTAGTTTGACTTCTTCTTTCGATGTTAATAAGTTACAAAAATTATCAGGCAATGGAACTCGTACTGATTTCTCATCGACCGGCAGCTTTCCGTTCCAATGTACAGAAATTATTGTGAGAATACCTCGGCTGATCAATAGCTTTGTAGTTAAATACGCATATTCGTAGCTAACTGCAACTGAATATTTCATGCAAGCATTTATCTCGTCCGCTGGTGTCGATCGAGAAATTCCAGGCAATGTTTGCCTAAAATCTCCTGCGAGCAATTTAATGCATTCCCGAATGGTTGAGCGTTTTTACGCAAATCTCACAATGATCGATCAAGAGCCTCAAGCTATTTTTATGTGTTATCGTGCACTCATCTGAAACAATGGGTTTACATTTTTGTAATACTTTTCCCACATGGGATGCTCTGAAAATATTGCATGTGTGAGATTCGATGATTTGTACAATGCATGTGGGAGATGTCCAATGGCAACTTCGCAGCTGAATGAGCAGCCCTTCCACGTAGTAACAATGACGCAGCTATTCTAGACGTGGGGAGAGCTAAGGCTACGTTATTTTTTGATCGAACCGTTGTCAGAATCATCCTGATAATGAATGTTTTCCCAGTTGCTCCTGGACAAATTTCGCTAAACATTCGTAGCATCTCATCTCATTCAGCAAAAAAGTTTCTGGAAAATGTATGATTAGGTATATGTACATACATTTAACTCAGGTAAACTTTTAGATATTTTAAAGTCGGCAAATGCTCAAGCAGGCAAATTCTCTTTCCTCGCAGTTATGTACGTAGTAAGCTATGGCGACCCCAATTAAATTACTTATAATTAAAAGATTACTGTTTTACAAAGCTAGGGAATGGAGACAGGAATTTTAAATTTTCACCGAGGATTTTTTAAATAGCTTGTATGAGATAATTAACGTTTTCCTTACGCCTTTTATTATTTTTTTTTTCATTGTTATGGGTGTTTTTGATTAATTTTTGCCTTGCGTAATTTGTACAGGCGGTCGCAGCGGTGTAGTTGTTAGCAGTGCGCGCTACTAATCCGCAGGGCCCGGGTTCAAGACAGGTTCAACCCAACATCAAAAAATAAAAAAATAATAAAGTTTTTTTCTACCAGCGAGTGTATTTTTTCCATGAAATACAGCTTCTCATAAAAACACAATCGCCGTTCGTAGTCAGCGTAAAACTGTTGGTCCTCCCCTTAGTGTGACAACCAGTGACGTAGCTAACATGGGTAGCACTCGGAGCGGATATTCAGGTGTCACTAGGGCTGCCAACATTTTCTAAAAAAATTATAGTATCTAATTTTTCAAAAAAATCTGAAAAAATATGGTAAACTTCAAATATATATCGTATCTATTCTATATACATATTTTTAAAGGCATTTTTCTGTTACCAAACTATATCTCCTTTAACATTTTATCGAATTTAGTGAATGATATCTCATCACATCACGTCATTCACGTTGTTCAAATCAGGGTTCGGAAATTCTCACTTACATTCTCTCACGTTCGCGATCGATAATATTCCAAATCTATATTTGCATTCTTTTATCGCGAGTGAAAAATGCAAACAAATTTATCATCTCTCACATTCGGAATGCGATCGACAAAAAAATTTCCGCTGCTTTTCATTCGCGATCGAAATAAAATTATAGTTTAAAAAACTAGAACCTCCCTATTAAAATTGCCATTCGTACTGTCATCAGGTACATATGTAACTTGAGAATAGAAATCGCTGCATCTTTTAGGCGCATCAATATTACATAGTTACATCCCGGGTTAATAAAAGGAAGGAAAAAAGCAAAGAAATTTCCTCTCACTCGAATATGAGAGGTCCGAGCATTGCCGATGTCGGCCTCTCATAAATGAGAAAAACGATGCAAGTATCCATTCGCGATCACTGACAACAGCTTATCACGATAAACTTATCGCGAAAAATTTTCAACGATGTTGTATGGGAATATTTTTCGTGTTTGTTTTGGGTATGCATTTTGTTATGCATACTGCATACAAACATATGTACATATCGTCGTTTAAAGTACTAAACCGCGTATCGTCATTCTACAAAACCGCGTAACTGGCATTGGCTGCCAAAAATTGGATTTGCTCACACAAGCTCTTGGCTCAATGCTTATCCATTCGTCCTGAAATATACTAGCCAGAAATGCGATTGCTTTATAAAAAAGAGAACCATTTTGAAATATTAGTGTTTTAACTCTCTAGAAAATAATTTATGCAACCTCGCGGTTTCGCTTAATTTGATACGCGGTTTTTCATTTTGTTGATACGCGGTTTTGTACTTTAAACGATGATATGAATTATGGTGGTAATACGTGTAGTTAAAGTATATTCCAACTCTGCAAGAAATATATCTAATTATAGGCTAACTTTAAGTTGAATAGGAAGGAGCTAAGGGTTACTTATTATCTGTATATTTTCTTTGACGAAAGCTAACTATATTTCTATGGCGATGGCCGTGAAATAGTCAAGGTGGTTTACCTCTGCATTTGATGTAACTAACTTGTAACTAACTACTTTTGGACATAAAATATCAATAGGAAAATCAAAATGTTTTATTTTTTTTTTTTTTACTCCATTTTATTACATTTCATATTTGTTTCCATATTCTGCTGTAGGTGGTCGCATATTCGAACTCCGTCAGACATAACTTCAAAATGATAATATGAAATTTCGATCTTCCTTTTATTTGTCCTCAATTCGAAAAAGTATTTGCGAAGTGCAGGATATTTAAATAGAGACGCGTTTAAAGAAAGCAATCTCCTGCATTACTTGTCAACTAGTTTCAAGTTACCTTTTTGTAGCTAACTACAAGTTATATATTTTATAGAAATCCCGCAAAAAAGCTAACTACAAGTGGGTTATTTTTCATCAATTGATACTTTTTTTCTGCAGGGAGACGTACACTTTTCAGTATAACTGTGTATCTGCATGTTATTTTAGTATAATTATTGCGTTTATTTATTATATCTAATAAATGGAACTTAGGGGGGATAAGATTGACTAATGAGAGAAGTGGGCGTCTGGTGAAGACTGAGAGTAAAGAAAAGCAGAAAAAACTATACATATAAATTTTTTTATTTCTTTTAAATGTTTTTATTCGCCATTATAAGGACTCGCAGAATTCCATCATACGAAGGTATGTATATATGTGTATGTATATATGTGTGCATGTACTTATATAAGTGCATAGTCATTTACTGAACAGTAGCGCAGAATGAGCAAAAATTTTGCAGCAATAATCAAATAATAGCTAAGCATTGGTTTTACTACGATCTTGCAAAGACGAAACAGATTTACTTGTGAGCCTTTTAGCCAGAAGTATGTATGTAGATACAATACTGCAGCAATATTGCGGATAAGCTGTTGTGAGAGATCGCGAATGAAGCACCCGCATTGTTTATCTCATTTATGTAGGTGCGCACCAAAAACTCTTACAAAATAAAATTTTATGCAGAACGTACGTATTTACGAATCATCTGGTATTCAGGGAAATCCCAACTAAAGCACACAACTCCGGACTTAGCGAAATGCAGTTTGAAGAAAAATTCACTACCTGCACTGAGAAAAAAACGCGTTGTAAGAATAAAAAATTTTTATTTGATTACCATTGAAAAATGCTCGTATTTAAATCTAGTGAAAAGTGTTAACGAAATGGATTTTTCCATCATACATACACTACATATAATGGAAATATTCAATTCAAATACGCCTGTATTAAAATGAAGCATTTTTCACTGCACCGATGGCGTTTTGCACGTCTCGTATGCTTTTTCATATGTAATTAAGAAAGTATATGTATACAAAGCATGCACAGCGGTGACAACAGATAAACATACATACATACATGGTACATGTTTATCTGCAAATGCACTAATCGCGAGCTGTGATGTTGATTCAAACTCAACATTTGAAAACACACTTCCATGTAGTGCTGTAGCTGAGTGTGCAAAGACGCTTGATACAATTGGTTGCTTCTAAGAGGGTCCGGGTTCAATTACCATCAGACGGGAACATAAAATAAATTCTTTTTTTCTTCTTAATTATAATTTCGTATAACGAAAAAGCATCTGCGCACTTCACAACGACTTTTTTTATAACGTACATACTCAAATTTAAAACGAGTTGGGTTGGTGCTCTTTTATATGAGTATTTTTTTAAATTTAGCACGTTTTTTTTAATTTTAAAATTTTTTTCCCTCAGTGTGCTACAACTCTAAAATGAACGAAATCATTTGCGCTATTTCCGTAAATATTTCTAAAGCATACTAATTATTAGTGGAAAATAAACAAAAGGTAGGTAGGAAGTAGAGGTTTACGCCGACAGGCTTTGCGGCGGCGGCGTGGACAACTTCAAAAAGAAGCGCGTCTGGAAACGCCGGCGCTACTGTACATAAGGTAGATTCCAAAGATCCATGCGGCTTCTAATCTTATCATGTCATCAGATTATAATTCTATTTAATTCATTGATTGAATTAGTTTTAAATTTAAACTACGTTACTTCCTACTTGAATTCAAATGTTGAGTGTCTGCTGTTGATGGATGGGCGAACAGAAAAAAGTCTATATAGTATATACATTAGGTTGCCCATCGAAAATGATTTCAAGACCCTACCCCCTAATTTTATTCGTTTTTATGAGAAATATTATTGCCTATTTTTATAGATTTTTTAAAGGCCATTTAGAGGTCGCGACCTGTCGGACCTCTAAATGGCCTTTAAAAAATCCATAGGTCAGAAAATACGATTTTCTAGATTCATGAGTTTTTGAATGACTATTTTTGCTTGGA